CCATCAAACGTGGTGTTAGTGAATTCAACTACAACCGAGTAATAATGATGGCAGACAGAGAGAGCACTCTGAGCAATTTTAAAAAATCCAGTTTGAAAATAGAAAATTGAAACACAAACTAAGAGGTACTGTAACGAGCAGAACTGAATAGTGTGTAAAGAGCTGTGGGATTAGTGACAACATTGTTAAAAGGAGAGAACTATGAGTGCTTGAACTAGTGTAAGTTTAAATGTATAGCAGCCAGCAATTAGCTGCTATAATGACCCCGATAACTGATTTATCTGGGTGGAGCTGGAGCAGCAGACATGCTACCAGCAACCACAAACACTGACAACCGGAGATGATACGCTGACTGCAGCACGTCACAGAGGTCACATCCCTTAGACGGCATAGTTATGTTATGTACTGGTTTAAGGAATAATGAATGAGATTAGATATTCAAATATAGTTTGGACCTATGTGTTTTATTAGAACACATAATTGAACGTCATTATGAGCAATCTTGACAGCCCTAGATTAAAATTCTCCAAATTACTTTAAAACACAGTTGATACTAGTTTAGACTGCTGCAGTAGCTCTGGGATTGTCTCAGTATCTGACATCATGTGAACTTTAGTCTTTGTCTGATCTACAGGTTGTGAGCTCAGGTCTGAAGTGAAGGGATGCCGAGGAGGATGGGTTGAATTCACCTGCAAATATCCCAAAACAACTGGAAATTATAAGAATATTGGTGTAGTTAGTCGAAGAGGAACATTCTTACAAGCTACTAAAAAGGATGTGTGGGAAACCAAAGACAGCATTTCCCTGTACCATGATACACAAAATGAAGAACTCAGAGTGGCCATCAGACAACTTCAAACCAAGGATTTTGGGGAATACCAATGTAAAGAGAAAGACAAAGACAGAGTGAAAGACAGAGAGAAAGTTGGTAAGAGACACTCACCTTTAATGTGTTTTTAATGAACTCAAAATTGAAACTTGGTCAAAATGTTTTCACACAAAAAAACACAACATAAAATTTTACATTATTTGCACATGTAATGACTCAAATGTTTTTGAGGCACATGGAGCCAATGATTGTTGATAACAGATTTAATCCTAAAAGGCCTCAGATATCAGATAAATTGGGTGACATTATGAATATAGTGACATTTATTCCTGAGCTTAAACATAAATCCAGTCTTTAGAGTCACTATCATTTTAAAGTCTTTAACCAACTGATATGTTAAATTGATTAATATGATTAAATGCATTTCATTCATAGCACAGTATTAGTGACACATTTTGATCAGCTGACTCAGTGTCACAAGCTTTAGAGAGAATTGTATACACTGGCATTTTCAGATGTTTTTTTATAATTTCTACTCCAGTGGTTTTATTAATTGCTATGGTTATTATGTTTTTTGTCTGTTTGGCCACTGTCTCAAATTCTTGCTGTAATTTAAATGTTATATATTTTCTGTGGACCAGTGAAATACAGCAAGTAAAATGAGAATTGAACACATCACAATTTCTCAGTAAATATATTTCTAAAGGTGCTATTGACATGAAATTTTCACCAGATGTCGTTAACAACCCATGCCAATCCACATGCAAAGAAATCAAACCATAGATGTCCATAAATTAAAGTTATGTGTAATAATGTGAAATGACACAGGTAAAAAGTATTGAACACATGACGAAAGGGAGGGTGCAAAAAGGCATGGAAGCCAAGACACCAGCTGAAAACTATCCAATAATTAGGAAAGCAATCCTGTCACTCGTCAGTGCAAATTAATATCAGATGGTTCAGTCCCAACTGATGGCCTATGGAAAGGTGTCTCATCACCAAGATGTCACACAAGAAACATCTCATGATGGGTAAAACTAGAGAGCCCTGACAAGACCTTTGCAACCTTATTGTTGCAAAACATACTACTGGCATTGGTTACAGAAGGATTTCTAAACTTCTGAATGTTCCAGTGAGCATTGTTGGGGCCATAATCCGGAAGCGGAAAGAACATCATTTCACCATAAACCGGTCACGACTAGGTGCTCCTCGCAAGATTTCTGACAAAGGAGTGAAAATAATTATCACAAGAGTTGTCCAAGAGCCAAAGACCACTTGTGGAGAGCTTCAGAAAGACCTGGAATTAGCAGGTACAATTGTTTCAAAGAAAACAATAAGTAATGCACTCAACCGCCCTTGGCCTGTATGCACGCTCACCGCACAAGACTCCATTGCTGAAGAAAAGCATGTTGAAGTGCGTTTGAAGTTTGCTGCACAACATTTAGACCAAGCCTGTGAAATACTGGGAGAATAGTCTGGTCAGATGAGACCAAATTCAACTCTTTGGATGCCATAATACACAGCATGTTTGGAGGTCAAATGGTACTGCACATCACCCTAAAAACACCATACCAACAGTGAAGTTTGGAGGTGGCAACATCATGGTGTGGGGCTGTTTTTCAGCATACGGCACTGGCAGACTTCATATAATTGAAGGAAGGCTGAATGGAAAAATGTACCAAGACCTTGATGAAGATCCGCCATCTACCAGGATGATGAAGATGAAACGAGGGTGGACATTTCAACAAGACAATGATCCCAAACACACAGCAAAGGAAACTCTCAATGGTTTCAGAAAGAAAACTAAAGCTGCTAGACGGGCCCAGCCAATCACCTGACTTGAATCCAATAGAAAATCTATGGAAAGAACTAAAGATCAGAGTTCATAGACGAGGCCCACGGAAACTTCAAGATTTGAAGACTGTTTGTGCGGAAGAATAGGCCAAAATCACACCTGAGCAATGCATGCGACTGGTATCTCCATACAGGAGGCGTCTTGAAGCTGTCATTACCAACAAGGCTTTTGTACGAAGTATTAAATACATTTCAGTAAATCTGTTCAATACTTTTTCCCTGTGTCATTCCATTTTATTACACATAACTTTAATTTCTGAAATTATTAGACATCTGGTGAAAATTTCATGACAATAGCACCTTTGGTAATATATTTACTGAGAAAAATGGTGATGTGTTTAATAATTATTTTATGTTCTAGTTCTGGTTTTGAAAACCACGACAGAAATAAAATGTATGTACTTGTTAAGTTTTTTTTTTAGTTTTGTTATTTATTTGCAGAGGAAGATGGTTGCCAGCAACAATTGAACCAAACTGCGTACAGAACAGCTAAAACCACCATCACATGTGATTATCCAGCAAAGTTTTTCTGCAAAGACAATGGTTTAATCTGCGAGGAGATTTTATCAACAAAATCTTCCCTAAAGTCAAACAGAAAATACAATCTCACAGAAACTGACAGTGGACTCAATGTGTCCATCAGTAATGTGTCCTCACATGATGCTGGTCTCTACTGGTGTGGAGAGAATGAAGGAAATTACCGAACTGGACTCGGAAAAATCCAACTGAAGGTTGAAGGTGAGCAGCACACATCTGACACTTCTAGGTTTGATTCACTCACACATACTGTATACACTACTCACAAAAAGTTAGGGATTTTCCACTTTCAGGTGAAATTTAATGAAAACGTCAAAAGTTGATGCTACAGTGATATTATATCATGAAAGTAGGGCATTTAAGTAGAGAAGTTCAAATTAAGATCACCTGGAAAGCTTATAGTGCATTTTTCTGAACACATTCTGAAATTTCATCCGAAAGCTGAATATCCCTAACTTTTTGTGAGTAGTGTAACTGAGGTCTCTCTGAAATATGTTGTTAAATACAGTCAATGCTGTCTGTCTACAGATATTACGACATTCACAAGGTCTCCAACTATTGGACAGAATTTTACATACTGGTGTGAATATCCAAATGGTGCTCTGATAAAAGAAATTCATCTGTAAGGGAGAAGATCCATCTATATGTCCACCCTCTAGTAAACACTGCACAGCGCAACATGAACAACGGAAAGTTTTCCATGAAGGAAGACGGATTAAAGAGAAATGTAACCATAACGGTGAGAGAAGTAACAGCAGACGACAGTGGGACATACTGGTGTGGAGCAGAAAGCACTGACACAAGACGCAGTAACACATTCTTCCACAGATGCTTGTTGACTGTAGGTGAGTGGTCACATTATTTTATTGTTTGGATGTAATCTGACTCCTGTTTATATGTAAACCTGACAATTTGATTACCAGGTTCATGATGGCATTTTCTTTCTTTTTTTATGGATTTTCTTTACCAGATTTTACCCAAATTATATTTCTTATTTTCTACACTTCACTGCAATCTGTTAAATCTATTTTCAGTGTCTCCAACCACATCGACACCCTCTATTACTTCATCAACATCAGATCATCCTGTTGCTACATTGTCGGTTGCTTCAACCCAATCAACCGTTGCACCTGCTGAGAGTGGTGGTGAGAGTGTTTTCTGAGAGCTGTTGCAGCAGAGGCAGAGGGGCAGGAAGATGTTACGGTTATTGATTTTGTGTTAATAGTTGTTTAAATAAGTTTATAATCGTCCTTTTGTTGTGTGCTTTTCTCTCTTGCAGGTAGCTCTGTGTTAACTGTCACCATTGTTGTGGTCATCTGTGTCGTTGTGCTGGCGCTGTTGCTCATTGTGCTTTTTTTCTACAAAGGTAAGAGATTTCCAGTTTGCACAATATCAAACACACACATTAACACACATTCAGGATACACACTTACCAGCCCCCTCGGAGAAGTTGCAGTCACAACAATAAACCAATTAATTGTCCTGTCACTGTAACTTTTTAAACAAATTTGACCAATCATTGTAGTTTCCTGCACAAAACATTGAGCCATACGTCACCAAACTCACGTTCTCGTTTGTAGTTGTGAGGATTCAGACCACGCAGACATGTGCAACACGAACGTCTCACATTTACCCTTCAAACTGTGAGATTTTATTCTCACCGGAATAAGCTTTACATTTTTAATTAAATTCACAGCAAAAAAATCATAACCATTTTTCTAATTTTTCACTTTCTCTCACAATATCATTGCAAAAAAAAAACACAACAGGCATCGCAATGTCTCAAATCTGATGTGGAATCAGGCATTTTAGGCCACAACAATCCCTAAAAAAGCCCCAAGAACTGTGTGTATACTATAGTTAAATCATAAAGGCTTTAAAAACAAACATTAGCAGGTGTAACTGTGTTGGTTCTTCCCTGGTCAGTAGATCCTGATTGTTCTTCTGTTTTCTCATTTTTTCTCTGTCAGGACTGTGTTCACAAACCACAAGAAACGGAGAAGCAAAGAACAACAAAGAGGTAAGTTTATATATTTATGTAAATGTCTGTAATTGGAAACGGACACATAGATGCAGGATGCCACAAGCATCAAAAATGTATGTTAGTTTTAATTTAAAAAGTCTTCAACCAATGCTTTGTAATTTACTTCAACCTACGACGTCTATCTCAATGACAGACGAAGACAGTTTGATATCAGTTGGATTTTGTATTGAGCACTGACTGTAACACACTGTGGAAGAAGTCTTCTTGTGTTTGTGTGTAATTACTCTCACTGCCAGAAGGGGGAGACAAACAAAAGGTTTAAAGAGCAATTATTAGTTTTGGGGGCAAACCAGATGATGTTAAACTGTATGGTTAATGCTTATTGTTAGGATTATTGATGCATATGAACTATTCATCCTGTGTTTTGCTCTGAAAGGATCGTACCTATGAGGAGATACAGGAGCTCCCAGAAGCCAGACTCAGGAACTGCACTTAAAACTATTTATGTCACTGCCAACTTTCCCACAAACCCCTCTTCTGCCCCACATCATCACTCCAACATCAACTTTCAGAGCAGCTCTGGTGACGTTGGTGGTGACACATATTTTACTGTGAGGGACGGTGATCAACATCCCACCTACTCAACGGTCAACCACCCATCCAGATCTTCTGCAGACCCGTTCTATTCTACTGTCAACTGAGGAAGGTCCTGGCAGTTTTCACCTCGTTCATTTGTGATGGGATTTGTGTTTTAATATTCAAACAATACACAGACTTTAGAAATTACATTACTCTGGGCCCTGAAGTAACATGAATGTGTCGGTCCTGGTTGAACTGGTCCATATTGAGGGTAAGGTTAGATACAATTACAGGAATATGAAAATGTAAAGTTTGAGGACTCGTGGTTTTGAATTAAAGACTATTTGGAAAAAACATGGATTTAACCCTGAAACCAAAAATGTTAACACTCTTGATTTATCTTATATTATCACGAGTAAAGTCAGTTTATTTACACAAATTACAGTCGTGCCATGTATTTATCTGTTTTAATGGATCCCTTTAATCTCAAATACTGAATGCTACAAGAATATTGTAAATCAAATATAAACATTTTAGATTAAAGTAATAACCAGTCAGTACGTCAACAGTTTTTAAACATTGATACCAAACATCACCCGCAGACTGATACTAATGTAATTTATATTCTGTATATACAGTTTATTCTATGTGCAATATGTTATGCATCAGTTGTTGTTTTATTGTGTAAAAACAAATCTTTTGAAATGTTCCTTTTTTACTAAAATACTGCATTTGTACAATGTGTCACTTTTTTCTTTTGGATTTTAAATAACACTGTATTTGATTAACAAAAATAGTTCATATAGTGATATTAAAAAGGTTTACCTTGCTTGGAGTGGTTGTCTTCATTCTATCACTGATATAACTAATTGTACTTGTACATGTGACTACATATAAACCAGAAAATATGACATTATTTAAGGGACATGCAAATGAACAGATGTCTTAAAATTTGACCTTTAAAGTACTCATCATGAGGAAATGTTAACATTTCTGCCAAGTAGCAAAATGCTGATACAGATCAGTAAAATGTTCACTGACAATATATTTTTCACAACATGTTTTCTCTACAATATCAGCTCATACAATGGATGGATGGAACAACCTTCCAAATAATGGACAACCTGCTCTGACTCCGGCGACAGCCGCCCACAACTGAAGCATGATATAAAAATGTAATAAGCAACAACATTCATCACAAAACAAACTAGCAAAAGAAATGAGTGCCACAAGGACAACACAATAACAAATAATAATATTAACATTTATAAATAACATTCAAAGTGAAAATATTAAATTAAATTAATTAGGCCTAACTTGATTTCATTTTTTCATTTGAAAGTCTGACCCTTTAGAATAACTCTGACCCTCGGACAAAGCATCTGACGACCCCTGCTGTAGATATTTGGTGGCATCCAGTTTAACAACAATCTTGATTTACAAAGATTTTCATGTGAACGATTTAATGGTCAGTGCAGGTTTCTTGATTAAAGTGTGACATATGGAAAGCTAAGTGTAAGGTTCCACCTCATTAGTGAGCATTTCTCCTGGTAATTTGCATTGTGAAGGGAATTTAATATGATTCACATCCTGTTTGCTTTATATAGTTTAAGTTTGATGATGCAAGACTGTAAAACAACCTGTAGACAGTGGGTGGGGTGTATCATGATTACTATCATTTTATTATTATCATTTAAGTCATATGTAGAGTCATCACAACTGTTTTCAGTTCCTATATGTCTCTGTTATAAACTTTTAGTAGCTTCTGGCTTTAAAGAACAATGTCTGCTGATATTAACACCGTTCAAATCCCAACTTCTCCTTTATGTATTAATAAAATTAAGTTCTTCCATTTATTCTCCCATTAACTTGTTTTTACATTTATAGACGGTATATGTAGACAGAATTAACTTATTACTCACATACGTAACTCACCACTCATTTCCTCGTAACTGTTATTTAGAGAAGGAATGTATAATGAGGAAGGAGTATAAAAATAAAGGGGAAGGACCAGTGTTTAGGTAACATACAACAGACATTCAAGAAACGCTTCAGACCGACCGACTGTAGAAGTGAAATAACCAGCTAGAGTTTAATATTCTGACCAAGGAGCAGCAAGACCAACATGATGAAGATCTTTCTGCTCCTCCTCTCACTGATGGCAGGTAAACAAATTATTAATACCTGATAACTTATATTACAGATGAATTAATGTTACTGCGTTGACTCTAAAAATCTTTTTTCAACATATTCTGTAAAGAAATAACACAAAACCTTTTATGGTGGACAGGCGGTAACATTTATGGGTTGTAATATAAAGGAGGGTTGGGCAGACGAACAAAATTCATATCACTGTAATTTTTAAGATTCTGGCAGTTTGATGATATATCACCTTTTTTATTTAAGTTTTATTTGTTTATTTATTTTGCATTACTCGGCCTTTAAATAGGCTCATATATAATTTACAGGTAGTAACATCGGTGCAGTAGAGACATCTCAGTTGAGTCAGAAATGTAAAAATAATATTATAAATGTATTTTATATAGTGCAGTCAGTTAAACGCGTTATTAACGGCGTACATTTTTTTATCGTGAGATTAACGTTCTTTTTGGCCTAGCACACTTTGTAGTTTTTTCACATGCTGTTGCAACAACTAGTAACGTTACAAAAACACTACACAACACCACACCGGATCTAGCTAGACCGGAAACAAAACAACAGGCACGCCGCACACACTTGTTGAAGAGTAGTAGACGTTACGTTTTGAATGGATGGCGGGGCGAGACGCCCGAAATGGATGCCAATAATATTCTGAATGGAAAGTTTACTTTTAAAAAGTTTCCAAATGGTTTCATTGATAAGACCAAAGTGATCTGTGTGTTCTGTGGTTGTGAACTGAGCTATCATCGCAGCACGTCCAGTCTGAAATACCACTCGATGGCCAAACACACAGCTGATGGGAATTCTCCGCCCCCTCGACAAAAAGAAATCAAGGGACATTTAGAATAGATAAAAATGTGCAATTAATTGTGAGTTAACTATGATATTATATGCGATTAATGCGCGATTAAATATTATAATCGTTTGACGGCACTAATTTTATAAGATCTATACTAAGATTTTAGGAACGGAGGCTTTTCCAGATCTTTCTCAGAAATTACCTGAATAAATAAATAAAAATCAATCAAATCTGTGATTAATTAAGTGTTTGATCCAGACAGTGTGTGTTTTATTGATATCGGTCATATTCACAAAAACTTTTTTCTTTGATCTACAGGCTGTGAGGCCTTAACTGAAGTGAAGGGATGCAGAGACGGATGGGTTGAATTCTACTGTCAAATATAAAGCAAGTGAAACATACCAAATAATCGATGTAGTTCCTCCCAACAATTCAGAAATAGGAAGTACTCAAAAGGAGTAACAAAGGCAGATATTCTCTGTATCATGATACAAAAAAATAAAAGACCTCAAAGTGGCCATCAAACAACTTCAACAGGAGAACTTTGGGGATTACAAGTGTGAATTTTATCAAGGACAGAACTCATCAGACGAAGTTAAAGTTAAAGTGAAAGCTGGTAAGAATTGTTTTGTATTACTCTCTCTCTCTCTCTCTCTCTCTCTCTCTCTCTCTCTCAATGTCCTTTGCTAATTCATTGTGTAACTATGTTAAAGAGCTAGAACTTTCCCTCCCAGAATATTTTTTAAATGATTTTTAAAAAATGCAACAAGCAGCAACAACTGTGGGAGTCGTGGCATTGAGGCTGCGTAGTGTGTCACATTTCAGAAATAAAGCCTGCCTGTAGTTTGGTGATAGATTAAAAAGAACTGAGGTATTACACAAGCAAACTATCTCAAAAACAGACATTTCTTCCCAGACTTTGGAAATAAAATTCCACATAATGAACAGATTTCACATATTTTCCTTTTTCTTTTCCTCTGCAAAGAAAGATGGCTGCCAGGGATTTCTTCAAACTGCGTACAGAACGGCTAAAACCACCATCACATGTGATTATCCAGGAAACAAACACAGGTCCAGTGTCAAGTTTATCTGCAGAGAATAAATTCACTTGTGAGGAGATTTTATCAACGAGATCTTCTGTAAAGTCAAACGGGACATTCACTCTCACAGGAACCAACAGAGGATTCAGTGTGTCCATCAGTAATGTGTCCTCACATGATGCTGGTCTCTACTGGTGTGGAGTGAATGAAGGAAATTACCGAACTGGACTCAGAAAAATCCAACTGAAGGTTGAAGGTGAGCAGCACACATCTGACACTTCTAGGTTTGATTCACTCACACATATAACTGAGGTCTCTCTGAAATATGTTGTTAAATACAGTCAATGCTGTCTGTCTACAGATATTAGGACATTCACAAAGTCTCCAACTATTGGACAGAATTTTACATACTGGTGTGAATATAAAAATGATCCTCCGATAAAGAAATTCATCTGTAAGGGGAAGATCCATCTATATGTCAACCACTGATCACTACACAGCAAAAGAAGAACACAAAGTTTTCCATGAAGGAAGACAAAGAGAAGAGAAATATCACCATAACAGTGAGAGAAGTAACAGCAGACGACAGTGGGACATACTGGTGTGGAGCAGAAAGCACTGACAGAAGACGCAGTAACACATTCTTCCACAGATTCTTGATGACTGTAGGTGAGTGGTCAAATGCTGCTGCCTCCTTCTGGTTGTTTATTGGGTAAACTGAGATAAATGAAGCCCTTTTAAAGTCATTACCTTTTTATTTGACAATTCTTTTGATCCCCTAATCATTACACAAGGTTATACTACTCTGTTCAATACTTTATTTTTACAAAAGGTCATCCCTACTCCTCACAGCTATCAAAATGTTTTGTTTCCTTTAATAAATACTCATCAATTATAAGATTTGTTCTGTTGAAACTTGCAGAACATTTCCCTCCCTCTTGGAACCCTTGGGGAACATGTATTGCATATCGCAATCAAGTTGTCTACATCTGCAAAGCGTCATTTTTTACTTGACACGCTGTCAAGTTCTCCCTAGGTTTTGCCTCAGCTCCTGCCCAAACTTGAAAATAGCCTGGATCTCTCTTAAAGTTGCAAAGGGACAACTCAATCTTCTTGTCTGTTTTTATTTTCAGTCTTCATCGAAACATTTGTTTAATTATGCAACAGATCTCTTGTAGATAGATAGATAGATAGATAGATAGATAGATAGATAGATAGATAGATAGATAGATAGATAGATAGATAGATAGGTTGCTAACCTTAAAAGAAACAGAAATGTACCAAAAATGCAATTATTTTCCATATAATTCAATTATGCAACAAAATCACTTCTTTTAATAAATTAAAGATTTCTTAATTCTGATGTACACTTTTTACTTAATTCTCTCATTTAAACAAAATCGCTTATTTAAATAAATTACACATTTAAAAATGTCTACTAATTTAACTAATTCTTAATTAGACTCACGTTATCATTCACAAGAGTTAATGAAGTAACAAAGTAAACCATAGATTAAGCAAATTAGGCTGATGATGTGACTAAACATTTCAAATTGTTCTTAACATTAATAAACTCAGGGGTCACATCAAAATCAAATATTCAATATTAAATAATCATATTTATTCATTTATTCTCAGCAGTGGCGTCCTCTCGTATCTCACGTCCTGACCTGCTGCCTTCCCTTTGTTTGGCCAAGACGCCGACTTTTTCCCACAGGTGGTTGTAATCAGGGGTGGAAAGTAACAAGTTACATTTACTCTCGTTACTGTAATTGAGTAGTTATTTTGTGTACTTGTACTTTTTGAGTAATTTTTAAATTCAGTAATTTTACTTTTACTTAAGTACATATTGTTGGAAGTAATTTACTTCACTACATTCTAAATAGCTTCCGTTACAAAGTAAAAATAAATAGATGAACTTGCACTGCGTCTGCGCGCCAGTAACGGTCCATCTGATTGGCTCTGGACAACTGCAGCGCCAGAAGGTCAGAAACATCGAGACGTTGGTGCCACAGAGGAGCTAGCTAAAAGATGATGGAGACGGATGGAGACAAGAGTATCGATGGAGAAGGGTTGAATTTGGGACACAGAGAGACGCACGGAGAACGTGAGGCCAATCCCTGGACAAACTTAAAGGACTTCTTTGAGTTCAATTCTGCTAATGACAACAATTTCATCATGCAATGTAAACTTTGTATCCCGAAAGAGACGCAGCTATCCACCTACAAAAACTCTGCTTCCAACCAGCACAAGCATTGCTTTATGTCATATAGGCTGAGTCCGGCTGAAATCGCCTTCTTGACCCAGTACTGCACAGTGATGAAGCCTGTGACGAAGGCCTTAAACATCCTTCAGTCAGAGACGAACACACACACGGGATGGCTGCTGCCAGTGATCTTCCAGTTAGCAGCAAAACTCGGACGACTGGAAGTATCCTGCAGGTTGTGCCTACCATTAGTCAGAGCCATTCAGGTGGGATGATGGGAGACCCTGAACTGATAGCTGCAGCCATCCTTCTGCCAAAATTCAAGACCACTTGGACTGAGAAAGCAAACGTCATAGAAGCAGGTATGATTTTCATCACTTATTATTAAAGGTATCATTTGGATTATTGGTGGGCCGGGGATGTATAAACTACATATAGTCAGTGTATCACCTACTGTAGATGCTGGTCACCTCACACACAGTTTGAAGAAGAGGAGTCTCCACTTCTTTAGCACTTCAACCTTTAAGAAGGCTTGGTCCAATATCATACATGCAACAGAATAATGAGCCTGTCTACATGAGTGTAGAGAATGTTTTGGTTTTTGTAATGGCAACATTATGAGTGTGCTTTGTGATTGTGATTTCAGATGAGGACGATTTATTCTCATCACTGAAGTCCAAAGGTCAAAAGGCACAAGTGAGCTAGATGGGTTCCTTGCCTGTGTCTCAGACAAAATGGACCTACTGAACTCTTTTCCTCTCATCCAAAAAGCTCTCTCTCAAACTCAACACTGGCCTGCCTGCTTCTGCTGCTTGTGAACGCATCTTCAGCTGTGCTGGACTGCTGTTCACTGCAAACCCAGCTAGAATGAGCTCTACTTGAAGACCAGCTCCTGCTCAAAGTAAATAGCAAGTTCATTGAGTAATTAAGGAGGAACTGTAACTGTATCTGTGATCTAGTCGTTTCTTTAATAAAAAATGTGAGTTTGAGCTTTGTGTATGTTCTTGTACTTTTTTTTTTATTGTATGGGGAGAGAGTACATTTTAAATGAACTACTTTTTTACTTTTACTCGAGTAGATTTTACACCAGTACTTTTACTTAAGTAAAATTTCATCAAGGTAACAGTACTTTTACTTGAGTGGATTTTTTGGTACTCTTTCCACCCCTGGTTGTAATGAATGAATGACGTTTCCCTCATTTTTTTGTTTGGTCAGCGGTATGCGGTTTAATCACTCCACCGGAGACTGTAGTTTCCTCCAGCTGCTTTTCCTGAGTTTTAACTCAACTACACGCCTTTGAAAAACAACGTAATTCTATCCCACCTTGCCTCACCTCGATTCGCCCACATCCTCTAACACCACCCAACTAAACTCCTAAACGTTTTCTTGACCCTCCACAACTTTCTCACTACTTGCCCAATTGAGAATGTGCAACTCTCAACAGAGACCAGAAGGAAGTGAGATGGCTCACTCTTTAGTTACTTCCATCAGCTCTAGAAAAATGCAGTTCAGTTCAGATTTTTCCCCACTTGTCCGATCGGGCCAGTGAGTTACCCAAGAGGAGTGTTATTTGTGGGCAATCCTTATTGTTGAGCCCTAAAATTAGGAATAATATGTTTATAATGCTGCTGTCTGGCACTCCTGTTGGTTTTTTCTTAAATACCTAATTTATTTCCTCCTTCTTAGTTTGACAATTCAAACCTTGTAAATATGTTGTTGTTTGCAGGCACAACTAAAATACATTTCTGTTTGTTTTCAGTGTCAACAATTCCCTCTGCAACCTCATCACCACCTGTAACACAACCAGCTATTGTTTCTAATGACGCCTTTGGTAAGTAAGCATGTTTGTTATTTTAAACCTTCAGGCCTAAATCTAGTTTAGAAACAGAACTAAATGACAATGGGGAAATACCTCTCACTACAAACAGTTAATCATTTGTAAAATCCCTCAACACAACCAGCTCTGAATGTTAATGCTAGGTGTTGATGGGGTTATTTTTGGATGTATTATTTGATGTCTTGTTTTCTTGTGCAGATCTCACATCTGTGCAGACCATTGCTCTGGTCTCTCTCTGGATGTGCTGCTGTTGCTGCTGATGCTCACTTCATACTTCATCTACACACGTGAGATAGTCCTTCACTAGCTTTCATCAAACACCTCCACTCACACACAAACAGACCATAAACACATTTTAACCGTAACAACAAAATATATTTTATGGGCCGGGTACGTGGAGTGGGTTTCATTAATTCAGATAAATTAAGTGTTCAAACTTTAAAGTGGCAGCCCTATCATGTAAAACAGTAATAAAAGACATTGTTATGGGTTCCAGTATATTTTCAGGCCTCCTCCATAATGTACCAAAAGCTATAGTAGTAGCAGTATCTTAGCCTCCGGTTCCTTCGACTCAGTGGGTTTTTGGTTAGATGGTTGTGATTGTAGATTTTAATTAAAGGATTTTAAGTCCAGTGTGTAACATTTAGGAGGATATATTGGCAGAAATGGAATATAATAATAATAGATATGTTTTCATTAGTGTATAATCACTTGAATATGGGAATTGTTGTGTTTTTGTTACCTTATGATGAGCTGTTCCTATCTACACACTTGACAGCTTGTTCTCATTTCCAGGTCATTAAATGACGATGCGAACAGTGTTCAGTTAGTTTATCTGCAACTTCATCTCTAGATGCCACTAAATCCTAACACTGGTCCATTAATTACAAGTTGGATGTTTAGTGTTGACGTTGAAGTCATGCAACCATGTTGTAGTTATGTAGTCCTAACATTGCGTTTGCACGAATAGAAAAATCCCTGTAGCACTCTATACTTTATCTACATGAATACTGACAATGTATGGTCATTTCTCATTCATTTCTACTACAAAACCATTTCTCTTTCTTTCCTGTTTTTGACAGGTTTTGCACCTTGTAAGAAAACAAGGAGAGGAGCATGAAGGAAAAGCAAAGAGGTCAGTGTATGAAATATGAATATAAATATATATTATTTAAGTAACAATTACATCTAAGCTATACCCAAAAGCAGTGTTTTGTTTACCACACAAGATTCATATTATATAAATGATTAGAATAATACATAATAAATAATAATTGCTGGTTGTGAGGTTACTGCAGGGATGTCAGGGACGTAAACAGGTTTGCAAAGGTGGACCCATTCAGGACTGGGTAGCGTCCACACCATCAACATTTTTGTTTTCAGTATAAATAGTGTTTACTGTCACATTCTGTGCGGCTGAGACTAAACATTTTACTTTCTTCACCAGATGGAAATAAATCTATACGGAGTGACTGGAAAAAACTCAGAGCCAATAGTGCATTGTTTGCACGTTTATGATATTAATTTCATTTTAAATATACATATTTTAACAGCCAGCTCTTAAATGCTAACATAAAAAGTGGTAATGAATCTGAATGTGTCCAGAACTACCAGCAAGGACTGAACTGGTTTAATTATTTCAACACAGTATAACATCACACTACATGTTGTCTTACAAACATAGTTAACAGTTACTTATAGTGGCTAAACCAATCTGCTCCGTGGCACACAGGGACCTACTCCCGAACAAAGTTTAATTGACATTGTGCATTTTTTGCGTTTATTGAAAAAATAAAAATAAAACTGATTGCCATCATTTGGGGAAACCTTGTTGTTGTTTTAACACTGTACTTAAATACTAGACTAAACACATTTAATATTTTGTTCCATTTTATTTAAGAGGTGAAGAAGGCACAGGAGGGAGTGTTATTGCGAGTCCCAAAGTCTCCAGTGTGCCAGCTTAACCCCCCGGTATCCAGTCAGCCAGGCCCCAGTTTGTTTTAGTTTTCATGTTTAGCCTCTACTTTGCTGGCTTGTATGTGGTATTAGTATTAGCGTATGCTACTTGGAGTCAGTGTTTGTGTGTGTCTGTTCAGGAACATGGTGGTTTATGTTGGTTATAGTTTTTAACCATTAGTGAGCGGCCTGTTACATTTGATGACCTCTCTGCTGTATATAGCTGATATTGTCTATAATTGTGTAAATATAAGTGACACTGAAACTCTTTGTCAGACTCTTAGTTTCCATCTCATAGCACAATATTAGCAGTTGATAAAAACATGCATATGAAATCTAGATTGGCATGTGGATGCGGCATCGTTGGTCTGATAGCCAATGAGTTTATACTTCAGTATCTGCCCCTGATACCGTTACTGGATCCGATCAGTCCCATCTCTACTCCTTAATGTCAGTCCTGGCTTTGCAGGTCCAGATTTGAGGACAAGGTTGGATATCATGACGAAAAAATGTACAGTTAGAATCTAAATTATAACAAAGATATGGATTAAATTCTGGATTTTTAGTCTTCAGTTAGTGTCTTTATTCTCACTAGTAAGCACTTGGCGAAAAGTGAGGTTTAGGTTTAGTTTATTTACACAAATAAAATAACCACCAGTACTACTTTTGCATTAGTTTTTCAGACTTGGGTAAACATCAACGACAACCAAAACATCCTGCCTACAGCCTCACCTGCAGACTGATATTAATGTAATTTATATTCTGTATATAAAGTTTATACTATATACTAATATGTTATGCATCAGTTGTTGTTTCATTGTTTAAAGATGAATCTTTTTGAAATGTTAATTTTTACTAAAATACTGCATTTGTACAATGTGATACTTTTTTCTTTT